TATCACAAAAAATTTGCCATCTCCCTTCGGTACCGAGATAATCATTAAAAAATGATCAATAGTCTAAATCGACTTAAACCTGTTTACCGCTTCGCTACTAAATTATGGGATTACCTCGCTAATGAGTGGTTTTAGGAGAAAATGGCATAAGACATTTTTGTAGGGAATTTAATCATCTGTAAAAAAGGTCTTGTGATATTTTAACCAAAAATCACTCGATTCTGAGTAATCGACCAATTAACGGTTCACGATTCACCACTTTAATGCAAAAATTATAAGTAAGAAGACCAAATAAACCTTGTACCCAGAGTAATACCGGAATAATAACACAGAGGAGGAAATAAAACGTAATCAGATCATGCTGCAGGTAGAACCGCATTTTTACCCTCATTTTGGACCATTTCGAGTCATTTTCACTAAAATTATGAGGTCGATGTTCTTTACGAGCATTAAACTATCTATTTGATAGCAATTTCAAATCCTCGAGAACGTCAAACACTAGTGCCGAATCCATTATTAATTTCAATTAATTAAAGGTCCTTTGACCGGAGGATCGCACGTACACCAGAGCGAGAGTCGTCGCCACTCGCCTTTGACTATTTAATGGCGGAAAAGTTACATTTTCTTTGCATAGAAAAAAAAATCTCGAATGACGAAAATTGTCTCTAGTTAAAAATCATTTTTCGTTGGTTTGAGAATATGAAAATAGAATAGAATATCTTGAAGGCGATATGAATGCAGAATTTGAAGAAATACTTCTGAAACTAGTGAAAAATGTCGACAGATATTCATAACACAATTTTCACTCTTGAATTCAAGGATCAATGGGTTCATGTCGAGGATAAAATATTCTTTATTTAAAAATAGGTATCAACGACCTACGCCCTTTTGTCCTCAACCCTTCGATATCTATTCTCAGATTATGAACACGAATATTCTAAGATCAAGAACACCTCAAGCCCACACGCAGAAAAATGGTTCATTTGCATTAAATTGATATTATTTCAATTAAATAATAATTAAAAAAAATTTAATTGAATAAATCGTTTATTTGATTCAAATAAAGTTGATTCAACTCAAATAAACTGTTTTACTGGGTAAATTCTTAGTATTGGTCATGACATCAAAATGATTTTGTATCGATTTCCGATTGACCATTTGGATATCCTCAAACCAACAATAGTCCCCCCTGACCAATATAAAATATCCGCGACATATTGAGCAACTTTGAATGCCACAAGAAACTGTCCTCAAGACCCCAACATTAGGCCTAAATCGTCGGTTGATAAACGCTCGTGTAAACTCCATCCATTAGAATCCAAACGAATTGTCTTAGAGTAAAAAAAAGCCAAAAGTGATAAAATATATAATATAAATAAATAAAAGAGGGGCGAGAAAGCGTTTGCCTCGATCTTAATGACCCATGAAGCTAATGATACGTAAATAATCGAATTCTATCTGTGTTGAATAAGTACAAGAACTCTCGATCAGTGAACTTGCGATTCTCGGTTAGTTCAAGCGAATGCGGATGGAAATTGATTCTGTAGCGAAGTGGTGAATGAAAGAACAGGAAGTGAGTAATAGAATGCAGTAGTGAAGTGGAGAAGAAGGTTAACTCAACTTCAGGAGTAGTTTTTAATAAATATTCTTGAATTTAAAAGATAATAGGGGTGAGTGGGGGAAATGAAGCACCAGGACAACCTCTCAGAATAATTCAAGATTTTTTTTTTGTGATACTGTTAATGTCAGTTAATAATTATCAATAAAGCTCGAGAGATGTGTGAGAAATAATTATAGCGGTGATCAAATTGTCATAAGTGCGACGTTTCGCTAATTATTTTAGCTTCATCTGCGTCCATAGCTTATGAGAATTTCATCAATGTTGTAATTATTTCGTCAACATCCCTTGAACTTTTTTTGTTTTTAATTAAAGGTGAAGAGATCCTTAATGACGTCCAGAGCTTAGGGTCAAATTAGTAGCGAAGTGGTAAAACGGTACAAGTCAATTTTGACTATTGACCAGATTTCAATGAATACCTCGGAATCTAAGGGAGATAGCAAAATTTGTGTTATAACCTTTTTTGTAGAGCCGATTGAGAGCTACAAAAAAAGTTATAGCGAAAATTTGGGTATCTCCCTTAGATTCGGAAATATTCCTCNAAAAAAATTTAATTGAATAAATCGTTTATTTGATTCAAATAAAGTTGATTCAACTCAAATAAACTGTTTTACTGGGTAAATTCTTAGTATTGGTCATGACATCAAAATGATTTTGTATCGATTTCCGATTGACCATTTGGATATCCTCAAACCAACAATAGTCCCCCCTGACCAATATAAAATATCCGCGACATATTGAGCAACTTTGAATGCCACAAGAAACTGTCCTCAAGACCCCAACATTAGGCCTAAATCGTCGGTTGATAAACGCTCGTGTAAACTCCATCCATTAGAATCCAAACGAATTGTCTTAGAGTAAAAAAAAGCCAAAAGTGATAAAATATATAATATAAATAAATAAAAGAGGGGCGAGAAAGCGTTTGCCTCGATCTTAATGACCCATGAAGCTAATGATACGTAAATAATCGAATTCTATCTGTGTTGAATAAGTACAAGAACTCTCGATCAGTGAACTTGCGATTCTCGGTTAGTTCAAGCGAATGCGGATGGAAATTGATTCTGTAGCGAAGTGGTGAATGAAAGAACAGGAAGTGAGTAATAGAATGCAGTAGTGAAGTGGAGAAGAAGGTTAACTCAACTTCAGGAGTAGTTTTTAATAAATATTCTTGAATTTAAAAGATAATAGGGGTGAGTGGGGGAAATGAAGCACCAGGACAACCTCTCAGAATAATTCAAGATTTTTTTTTTGTGATACTGTTAATGTCAGTTAATAATTATCAATAAAGCTCGAGAGATGTGTGAGAAATAATTATAGCGGTGATCAAATTGTCATAAGTGCGACGTTTCGCTAATTATTTTAGCTTCATCTGCGTCCATAGCTTATGAGAATTTCATCAATGTTGTAATTATTTCGTCAACATCCCTTGAACTTTTTTTGTTTTTAATTAAAGGTGAAGAGATCCTTAATGACGTCCAGAGCTTAGGGTCAAATTAGTAGCGAAGTGGTAAAACGGTACAAGTCAATTTTGACTATTGACCAGATTTCAATGAATACCTCGGAATCTAAGGGAGATAGCAAAATTTGTGTTATAACCTTTTTTGTAGAGCCGATTGAGAGCTACAAAAAAAGTTATAGCGAAAATTTGGGTATCTCCCTTAGATTCGGAAATATTCCTCAAAAACTCAACTGAGAGATAAGTCGACTTAAACCGTTTTACTACTTTGCTACTGAAATAGTCACGAGGGTCACCTTAAGGATGTTTGGTGTTTTTCTATAACTCGTTCGACCCTTGAGACTCTCAACCCAAGACCATTTTAACCTTACCCCAAACCTCCTTAAGGGGAAACGGAACCCCTGTGTCCATATCAATTTTTAGAATTGTGTTTTCTCCTTCAATTATTAATTTTTATCTATGAAACTACTTTATCGACTCGTCATTGAATTGTTGAGTCAATGAAGCTGTTTCATAAATAAAAAAATAATAATTGCAGTAGTAAATCCAATTCTACAAGTTCATATAAACACAGGGGTTCCGTTTCGCCTTGAGAGAAAACAGATGGCCACCATTTCCTCGAAATTTTCAAATAAATTTCCTGTTCAAAGTGATTCATATTTTTCTAATCCAAAGCACATTGATCTTCATCATCGCCTCCAGGAGATGTTTCTATGTGCTTTGATTTGTAAAAATATCGATAACTTTCGGCAGGAACTTTCTTTAAAAATGTGGAAAATTAGCGGAATTCTGTTACCCCGTAAGGGTCGTTGACACTCCCAACCATTTGACCCTCAACTAAAAAAAAATGAATCGTTCTTAATCGTTATTTTTCCCAGTGTTTCATTTTGCTCCGCTCTCCTCTACCAAATCTTTGTAAATAATATTATTTTATGAAATATTATCCACAACTCATCCTCAAGTGAAATCGACTCATGCTGTTGTGCCACTTCACTAGTAAATTTCTCGCTCATCGTTCTGAAAATATCTTTGAAACTAGCTTGATTGGAAAATGTCAAGAGAAACAAAGATCTCTTGATGATTCTCCCACATGTCACTCAGGAACCAGATAATTCACTAATTAATCCACTGGGACTCAATAACAGATACGAAATATCTGTAAAGTAGATGATTAATTCGAAAAGGAGTGACTCGTAAGTGTCGAGAAATCTTTCTCGCTGTTCATAAATATCCATGCAAAAAGATTTCTCAAGTTTCCTCCTGATCAAGATGTAGTAGCGAGATAATTCCATAATTAATGAGAATGTACATCAGATAAATCATCTTAAGTGTGTGATTATCTCAGAGATGAATGACAACGTAAAAATGTCAAGGAATTTTTTATTCAAAGAGGTCTTGTGACCTGTAACGTTCAATAGTTTCAGAGATGTTTTCAAGAAAAATAACAGAACTTTTTGGTTTTCATTTTTTCCACCACTTCACTGAATTTCTATTCAGCCCTCGATTTTTAGTGAATGACGATAAATTGGGTTCGACAAAAATGGGGAAACATTGAAACGATAAAATGTGGATGAGAAAATACGAATGAATTCCCACGATTCTACGAATAAATGGAATGTCGTAACGGAGTGAGAGCGATAGACGACAGGTGACGACAAACGACAAACGAAAAATTATCGAGGATGAATAATGAAAAAATTGGGTGAGTAATGACAATGACGTGATTATTTCCATTCACATGACCCAGGACTCTTTGATACTCAAACATCCCTTGAAATGAATATTTTTAGCACTTGAGATATTGATATTGTCAACTTATTCTCTCGTAGTCGGTTGCAATTCACAATTACGGGATAAACGAATGTATGCAAGCTACAATGGCGGCAATGATTTTTTTTTTAATGAAAAGGCTCGTGGGTCCTATACCTTCTTGTTAATGTCAGTGTTCTTGCGCTTTCTGCCCCTTCCCCCCCTTGCTGCCTGGTCGCTACTCACAGGATGATTGGTGCTTGTTGCATTGCTCGTCTCATTGTTAGGTGATGTTGGTGTATCCTTTAGACTGGCTTGGATTATTGGGGTTGAGTATCTCTCAACGTATGATGACCATTTTTCAGATGTATTAACATCCTCTCTTTCACGATCATTGCAACCCTCGGGCGTATCCTCACTCTCATTGTCCAGTAATTCTATCGTCATTTTACACTCTTTTTTATACTGTAAAGAAAAGAATAATTTCATGACTTTTGAAATATTTATCTTGCAAATATCTTTGATATAAAGGGATTCAAGGGGAAATTAATTTTACTAAACTCCTTCCTTTTAAAAATGTGCATCCATTTTTCGAAAATCTAATTCTGCCATGTTTCAGGAAAATTCCGTTATTTTTTAGAGTTACAGGGGAACATATGAAACCAACTGGTTTTTTTTACACACAGGCTCTCATGGAATTCATTTACAAATTCATAATTCATACACTGGAAAACTGTTTTTGGATGGAAAACTGCAATTTTACATAGCAGCCCGCGTTAAAATCCAAAATTTCTGTTGGATTATCTCTTAAATGGTTTTTATTAGTCGTTTGAAACTATGTGAATGGATTCAAGATGGAGGTATTCCATGTCAAATGAGTCAACGGCCGACCCTCACCCTCTTGAAAATTGATCCCGATTTTTTCTGCAGCCCATTTCGCAAATACGATTTTTTTTGTTTTTTCTTTTTTTTTTTCAATAACTCCAGTTCTATTCATCCGATTTTTATTTGTGACATGTCAAAATTTTCGACTTTCTACCATCTATAAGAATATTTTAAGTCATTTTTTTAACCCCTAGGCTCATAATACCGAATTTCCAAAAAAAAAAAAATGAAAAACTTGAATTTCCATATCTATGTCACTGTTTTATTTTTCTCGTCTTTTTTTCCTGCTTTTAACTCCTGTAACCAAAACAAGTATTTTAAGCCGTCATACAAGTGCGGCTTCGTCTTAGATCTATTTTATTTTCAATTTTTTCTTCTCGAAATTCCACGAATTTGGACAAATTTCCCAAAATGGCGTTGATTGACTTTGGTTATAAACAGTATGAAGTGAATTTATATATATACTTTTATTTTACATATTTTTTGATACATAAACGGAGTTGTTTTGGTGTGTTTTGACCAAATTCGCGGAATTTCGAGAAGAAATAAATAAAAATGAAATAGATCCAGGACGAAACGCAGCTTGCATGACGGCTCAAAATACTCGTTTTGATTATGAGTTACTGAAAAAAAATGAAAAAATTAAAGGTGACGTAATTTTGAAAATTCAAGTTTTTTTAAAATTCGGTATTATGTGAGCACTTCGAGATTGAAAAAAAATTAGCCAGAATTTTCTTATAGATGGTAGAGAATGGAAAATTTTGAGCCGTCACAAATTAAAATCGGCTGAATAGAACCCGAGTTTTTTTTATTGTTATTGTACATCACTTCGACCGGGTTAGGGTATGCTGCGATGATGATCAAGACTTTAAATGGTTAGATCTCACCATTCTACCCGGCCGGGTTTTGAACTCGGAACCTTTCGCACGTGAGGCAACGAACTTACCCACTGCGCTAAGCCACCGGGGTAGAACCCGAGTTATTGGAAAAAAAAACACATTGCTGATTTTTTCCAGAATTTTCCTGGATTTTTAGTATTTTTCTAGAGACTAGGGTACTTGCGCGCTTCGCATGCTATACATATGCCCATTGGGCTTCAAGTTTTTTTCTACAAAAAATACATTCATTCCTCATGAATGCATGAAGAATGATTGCATTGTATATCTTTGTTGTTGTAATGGGTAAATTATTGAAATGATTAAACTTCACTGGCAAATTTCAAATTTTCAATTCAAATGGAATGTGATTTATACTACTTTTTTGTTAGCGTTTGTTCAGAATATTTTATTTTTTTTTATTTTGAAAATTCGTAGGTATAGCTATACTTATAAATAGTTATAGTTATGTATAACGACAGATATCTATAACTGTAGTTATGGTTATACTAATCCCTATGAATAGATTTAAATTATCGCCGAATAGATCGGTGACAGAAAACGTTACATGGATTTTTACGAAGAAATTTCGTAAAAACTATCGATTCTTTCGAATTCGAAAATTTGCTTTCAATTAGTAGAACTGATGTAAAAGGAAATATACTTACAATATATATTTTATAAGAGTTTTCAGTGGCCATAGCAGCCTCAGCTCTCCTTTGATACGCAACCTCGGCTCCAACCCTCAAATAAGCGGTTGCACACAGTCCTCCAGCGCCACTACTCTCCTTCGGTTGTCTCTGTTCACGATGGAACATGTCAATGCAATTTTGACAAGGGGCGTCTGTCACTAGGTGCTGGAGCTAAAATGAAAATTCGATAACGAGGTTAATAGACTTTCTAATGGTTCTTTATATTCCTCGAATTCTAGGTCTCATGTTTATGCGAACGCTCACCTGTCTAACTGCGTACGATACCACTTTATCCAGGGTGAATGCCATGTATGCGTGGATGCCGAACATCTCTCTCAGGGTGTCCTCATACGCTGTACTCTCCATGTTACCGTCGAGAACGTTTTTCACCATGTCGAGAAATGTTGGATAATATTCTTCTATTTCTATTTCATCTGAAAAAAAAAGTAAAATTATTAGAATCATTTAGAAAAAAATATGATAACAATTTAATCATTTGTCAGAATTTTTTTTTAATGAAAAAGCCCAGTTTCAATTCCCAATTGATGGATAAATTCAAAAACGCAACTTTCTCATGGTTAATGCGGAAATTATCTCTAGAATAATAGTTTTTGAGAGAAAATATCAAGACGTGCTTCATAAAAAAATTTCTCGACAATGGAAAATATGTCTCTTGATGTTTTATTTGAGATTCATTCATTTCTGAGGTAGTTAAAGGAGTAAAGCGCAAGTTGATTTTCCACATCTAGTAGAATACAAAATCATTGGAATAAGACTAATTTTACATGGAGAATATTAAGAACGTTACGACGGGGTGTCAAAAACGGAAAGTGAATTCTAAAAAAAGTTCACACACGAAGTTTTTACATTTTTAATCCATAGAAAATTTTAAGTGGCAAGTGAAAACCGTTGACGAGAACAGCCAATAGTCATTTTGGGACTTTAAGAAGCAATGGAAATTCCCAGTTTTTTCGTCGCAAGACGACTATTTAACAACACCCAATTTCTTACACTATAGATACAAAGATTATTGATGATTTAAGAATTTGGGTTTTGCTAAATATTCGTCTGACGATGAATAAACTGGGAATCCAATTTTTACTCTGATGGTAAGTTCCAGTGTTTCTTAAGGATATCCAAGTGCTTTAGCTATTTTTTTTTCCAGTGAAATATTTTTATAAGGGAGTGTGGGGTAAAACGGACACTTTAGACTTTTTTAAAATTATTCATAACTCAGAAACAAATTGATCAATTGAGCTCAGTTTAGGCTCGTCACAAAGGGAAACAATTGTTCTTTGTATTGGAAGAAAAAATTATTTAATTTTATCAACATTTCAACCGCTCATTAAGACTTAAAAAAAGTCAAAAGTGTCCGTTTTACCCCAACCTCCCCTACTTTTGCAGTCGAACATTAGAGCTTTCATTTGAGCGACATTTGACTCTAAATTTCGAGACATTTTACAATGATTTCATTATTTAAACTTTGCAGGTTTGAATTTGAATCTCGATATTGAACCATTAGAAAATATTTTAAAAATCTGAAAAAAAAAAATTAGAAAGTTTACTTTTGGAGGAAGAGTGATGAAATAATTTAAAAATCGCGGTTTTAAAAAATTACGAGTACTTTCTATAAATAAATTATCAATAATCAATTTTCTACCAGAAAAATCATTGGTACGGAATCGAACAAATTTATTCATATTCAGAATTTTACCAGAAATCGATTTCATATCTGCAGCAATAAAGTTTTCAAAAGTTCAAACAATTGCAGTTATTCATTTACAAATAACCAATGTTAAAAAAAAAAAATAATTCTAATGTAATTTGAATGAAGCTGAATGTTCATGATTTAAAAAAAAAATTTCTTACGCAATTTAATTGACTAATTTCATGACTGAATATGGTTGAATCTATAGGGTGCTCTATACTAAACTGTAAGATATTTAGATATCCTTAAGAGGAAACGGAACTCTTGCGTTTATATGACTCTTTAGAATTGTGTTTTCTTCTGCAATTATTATTTTTTATTCATTAAACTACTTCATTGACTCAACAATGCGATAATCGAGTCGATAAAGTAATTTCATAGATAGAAATTAATAATTGTAGGAGAAAACACAATTCTAAGATTTAATGTAGACAAAGGGGTTCCGTCTCCCCTTAACACGAGCTCTTATCCGAAAATGTGATTTTTCCACGAAAAAGTCGAGAGAAGTTCAAAACTTTCTGATCATTTTCATGTAATGCTACGAAATAATGTAGCATTACATGAAAATGGTTTAAATTAAAAAACATTGTGTGAAATTTGCAGAATTAATCAATTAAAAATCGTTACTAGCAAATTGTCCTAGAAGGGATTGAGATTCCCCTGAGGTAATGCAGAAAAAAAACTCCCGTTATCGACTTTCAATTCTTGGAACAAAATAACCCCGGCACAACACTTTGAAAATTGCTTTTAATTAACAAAAACCTCAATTCGCCTCTCAACGTTTTCCCACTTTGTTCCAGAATAAACCCACCACAAAATTACAAAACTCCATAAACCTCAAACTTACTTTTTGGTTTTAACCTGAGTGCAACAGCAGCCACTTCCTTCCTCTGCTGTTTATACATGGCCTCCTCATCAGCCAACGCTACCGCCCTATCGTACATTTTCGTAAGCCTTTCACACAGTATATGATGTAACCTCAGGAACAAATACCAGCTATTAGATCCCATGAACAGCGTATACGCCTCATCAGGATCAGTCGACAATGCATGAACAGGTACTTTAATATCCCCCTCGCTCTTAACATTGGCATTAGGAGGTGATGGTGATGCTTTATTATTCCTAGAGCCCTGCAACCCAAGTGGCGATGGATTTGTCGTCAACGATTGTGATCCACTGGGCATGCCCTCCTCCTTATCATCATCCTCATCCCTCTCATCATCACTCAACTCCTGTCTCGGATGAAAGAACAAATCAGGTATAAAGTGCCTTAACAATAACTTAATTCGTTGTTTATCCTCCTTATGTATCGCAGTCTGTCGTTTAACATGATGTATCAACAAATTGGCAGCATCATCAAGCACTGATTTATCCTTGTAAGGAAGCACCATGTGAGGACCACTGCCCTGTCCATCACCACTGTCATTCTGTTCATTTCTCTCGTCGCACAGTGTCTCAATTTCATTGAACAGACTCTTCGATCTCAAGGCCTTAACGTCATTCTGCTTGAAATTAATTCCCTGATGATCCAGTGACTTGAGATAGTACTTCTCATTCTGCTCCCTCCAAATTTTATTGAAGCCCTTCTGCGCCTCTCGCCACTCCTCCTCCTTACTCTTCAGTCTCCTGAGTACGACTGGCACAGCAACAGTCGGATTCTTCTTCAGCCCATCGATAATATCAGCAGCCTTGTCCCCATATATTCTCTTCAACGCTCTCTGATGAATCGTTGGAGAACACCCACCTAAACAATCATCGAGTTTAAACCTCTGCAGCTCCTCCTGACTCATCCTTCCCATTTTTTTATGAACACCCTCCAAGACCCTTATCGTCGCTGCATTCGTCTCGATCACACCATCCAACTCAAATCTCTCGTCCTCACATCGATAAATAAACTCCTCGAACTGAGTCTTTCGAGATGTTACGAAGGTACTGTCTTCCGACCACGTGGGGAATGATACCCATGTGTCGTTAAGCACCTCTCGACACAATTGAGTCCTCCCAGAGCATTTAGGCTGTACGTAGGACTTTGGTAAAGCACAGTAGGAAGCACCTAGTCTCTTGCAGGTTGTGTAGTCTATTTCCATGGCTAAATCACCCTGGGGTCGATCCTGATGGCTCCTCACCACGTTGTTCGGCAGTGATTCCACCAGGTTGCTGTTGGAATTTGTCGAGGTGATGCCTGCGGTGTCTTGCAGATGTCCTAAGAACTCTTTGAACCATCTTAATAATTCGGGAAAACGACCCAGAAAGGGTGTCACCAGCTGGATTAATTCGCTCTTCGAGACTATCTCCTGGTTGAATAAAACTAAACATCTGAGGAAGTTTTCGTATACCTCTTGAGATCTCAAGGCCTTTCGCACTTTGTCGAAGAATGCGTAGTCATTTAGGCTACCGTATTTTCCTGCTTCGGCGATTGTCACGTCTCGCACTGAAGCCGATACCTTGTGCTTCTTCGGGGGAGGGGGACCATGAGGTGGATGGTGGGAGTTTCCGGTGGACACTGACGTTGGAAAGGAGGGACTGCGCTTCAGCTGGCCTGTACTGTGACCGAATTTTTGGGTGTTGTTCAGGTCACGGGGACCTGGACGTTCACGATCTCTGTCACGATCTCGGTGGTCTCGGTCTCGATCGAGACCTCCTGGATTACCTGGCTCTCGGTGATCACGGGGGAGGGATGTTGTGTTGTTGTAGGAGGCTTTTATCAGGGGCTTTTTCACGATTGCTGCGTGGTCGTTTACCGTGGTTTTGTTACCCTGAAACATTGCAGACTAGCACCAATTAGGCACCATGGAGAAGGGAAAATGTTGTTTAGAATTTTTGGTATTGGTTTGTCGGGGGTGGGGGGAAATGATAGGAGTGATCTGGTGATGATGGTGATGATGGTGATGATGATGATGAAGAGAGCTGTGGAGATTTTAGTTTAAGGACTTTATGGCAAGGGGGATAAAATGCGGAAACAATTCAAGATTGAAGTTTTTACAGTTTTAATTCGTTCACAATTTTTCACATGGACTCTTATGGGAAAATACAGTTCTGCCACACGAAAGCAAAGATAAACTTGAAACTCAAAATATTATTTTTTAGAGTTAAGGCCCGGGTGTACTATCTTTGGAATGTTATCTGGATTTTTTTTATCTTCCCCCTGCATGATATTCGGTGACAGGCCGCCATTTGCAACCGTAAATCAGATATATTTTTCAATTTCTTGTTATTCAACTTATCGTATATATAAATTAAAAATGGTCTTTGAAAAATCTAAAAATTTCTTCTACTTTTTTTTGATTATTCATTCATAATTTTTCAAAACTTCTGCATGATGAAGGACTTAATTGACAATTTCAGATGACGAAAGATGAAAAAAAACATCGAGATAACGTTCGAAAAATATTACACCCGGGCCTTAAGTGAATATGTTTTGAATTTTTGAATTATGAGAATTTTTTAAAATTCATTTTTTGAATTTTGTGGACCCCATGAGGTCATTCAAAAATATAATTCACAATTGATACACAAAAAATGGTGATATAATTGAATTCCAGTTTTTGGAATAAAATAACCCTGCCATAAGACTCTTAATTGGTTTTTCAGTGTTGATTGATTTCTTAAAAAAATGTTGATGAGTGATGAAATCGGATAAATAATTGTTTCTCGAGAAAAATTAAAAATGACATCAGAGAAACCTTTGACAGTAATTTGTTCAAATTCTTCGTAATGAAATGGCAGAACGTAATGCGTAAACTTGGCATATTTGTCGATTACTTATTTATGCAAACAAAAGAATTTTCGAAGAAAATGGCAAGATATTTTTTTTATAGCTGAAGGAATCTTTAAAATGGCTGATTACGAAACTAGTTTTATATTTAACAACATGTTTCAAATTAATGTTTTTTTTTCAATTTGGTGTCGTGCTTTTATTGATTTTCTTCCATTTAAAATACTAAAAAGCTTTTAGGAATGATTAAATCAGATGAATGCATTAGAGTTCTTAAACCTCATTTTTTCGTCATTTTCGTGACGGAAATGGTAGAACTTAAAACATAAATGCGATTATGCATTCATCTGAGAAATACCAAGTTTTCTTTTAATGAAAAACTGTGAGAAACTCCCTTTTACGTACCATTTAATTACTAATTTATATTAAGTACTTAACTTGATGTAGAGTTAGAAAAAAGTTTTGGAGATATTTGAATTAATTCTACGATAATTGTGATGAATGAAGAGTGTTCAATTGAGTGAAGGCTTGCACTGATGAAGCGACCGTTTGATATTTTCAATATCATGAAAGAATGAAGGAATCTAAGGATTCAATCGAAAGAGAAAAAAAACTCACCAGCGCACTCTGTTGACTCGTTGCATCAGGCAAAAACTGTCCAAACTCAGCAAGTAAATCCTCCTGATTCTCAAACAACTTAGCCACCTGACTGTAAACTTCCGCCTCAGTCAGATGTTTTCCACCAGACGGAACACTCCCACTACCAGCTCCCATGTGACCGGCTTCTTTCAAGTTTCTTTGCTCCTTCTGATATGTATGGAGAATCTCCAAGAAACGTTTGTACTTGTCTGGTTGTCCTTGAAACCGATTCTGTGAGCATAAATTGATAATGATCATTAGTTATCCATTTACAATTTCATTCATTTCAAATCAATTGAGTATTTTTTTTTTATTTAATGACAGACCGACGCTTTTTTACAACAATGAGAAAACAATAGGGAAAAAAGGAATCAATTATTTTATTACAAAGAGAATAACTGCTGTGTTGACATTTTTTAATTCCATAGAATTTGTTTGAAAATATTTCTGAGACTATTATGATCAGAAGAAATTCTCAAGCCTTTTTTTGTTGCTAAATGCATTCAAACATTTTTTTCTTAAAAATATATTTTTGCAAAAAAATCAATAAAACTTTGAATTGACTAGGTGCAAGAAAAATTTCGAGAGATGTTTTCTACAAAAAATTTTTTTGGACCTCTCCTTCTGACGGATGTCTACGAAATAATTGAAAAATGCCTTTTATTCAAACAATTCAACAAAAATCAAACCATCATTTCCACCCAATTTCATCAATAATTTTCCATAAATAATAAATGAAATATATTCACCTTAATTTTATTGACATAATTGATGGCATGATTGAATTCAACGGGTTGACTCTGTTGTGTCTGTCCACTGTTTTGTACACCATCCTGTGCCTGGCTGAGTGCCTGGCTGACAGCTTGCGCTTGCGCTGCACTTATGTGTGAATTATTGTACGATTGAATTGGCGGTGGTGATGGTACAGCAGCATGAATCGTCAAACTATTATTCGATATATTATTAGCAATTGAGTGATGTATGTTTCCCGTTCCCTGCATTATTTGCAGTACAGATGGTGCTTTTGCCGGTTGACTTGGTGGTGATGCCACTGGTGGTGAGCCAACATTAACAGTACAATGATGCTGGGATATGGTTGCTGTATGGGTTGCCGTTGGACTTGGCATACTCACTGACACTTGAAATGCATAACCCTGCTCATTGGCCTGCACTTCAATCTTATAACCAGGTGGTAAAAATGTATTAAAACCAACGATCAACTCAGGATGTCCCTTGAACAAATTACTAACACGTGTTATCACACCTGGTGTATCTATACTCTGGGATTTAAATTCTTTCATTATGTCGAGAAAGTCATTGTACACTTGGGGCTGATCGTTGAACTTGTATTTAACTTGGTCAAGGTAGGACAGTGCATCCTCAACTTTTAGCCTTTGAAATTGCTGCTGAGAACCACTACTGGTGCTCAGACTCGCTGGGGGCGTTGGGGCTAATGGGGCTGTTGCATTTGTATGCACCTGAAAGCATAAACAAATTTCATCTCGTTGATTTTCTTAATTGGAAACGATTCACTCAAGTTTTCTCGTTTAATTAAATTCTGTTGAGTCTGAAATTCCGTAGATTATTTCGCAAGCGTCTTGGAAACTGGTGGATCAGAGAAGAATCGTAATAGTTTTTTTTGTTCATAAACTTCCGTACAAAAAAATGTTTTGTTACTTTTGTCCATTCAATGACTTTAACTGAGATTTGTGGAATCTACAAATTTATTTTGGGCTTTCCTCGAATTCAATTGACGCACATCTGGTTAGTTATGGAATTATCTCTTTAAACAGTCATTTTAAGGATGTTTATTTTCCAAAAATCGATTTTTTAGACTGATGAGGCAACATATGAAACAAACATTCGTGATGATTAGGGGAAATTCGTGACAGTAGTTTTGACGAAGTGAAATAAACAAATTTTGTTTTAAGGATATCCAAGTATCTTTTACAATTTGGTACAGATTCAATCATTTTCCATCATCAAATTTGTCAATTAAATCGCGTGAGGAATTTTTTTTTTTAAATCATGCATATTCAGCGTCATTCAAATAACATTTTACACAGAATTATTAGTTTTTAGACATTCATTATTTATAAATGAATAATTGGAATTGTTGAAACTTTCGGAGAAATTTTCTTAGGCAAAAAATCGATTTCTGGTAAAATTCTGAATATGAATAAATTGGTTACTATTTCGAATAAATGATTTTTATGCAATTGCAATTTTTTAATTATTCCATTAATCTTCCTCCAAAAGTAAACTTTCTATTTTTTTTCGGATTTTCTAAATGTTTTTTAACGGTTCAATATCGAGATTCAAATTAAAATCTGCAACGTTTAAATAATAAAATCATTGTAAAATCTCCGAAAAATTAGGGTCAAATGGAGCTCAAATGAAAGCTCTGATGTGCGACTACAAAAGTAGAAAAGCATTTCACTGGAGAAAAAATAGCCAAAGTACATGAATATCCTTAAACACAGGCTCTTATGGGATTTGTTCCCAAATATATAATTCACTCAATGAAAGAGTCTGAAGACAACAACAAAAATAGAGGGAAATGTGCACAAATATATTCAATTCAATTACCAAGAAAATTATTGTCTATTCGTGAATAATCAACTGGTGTTAGTGAATCAACTTTTTTAGCAACATGAAGGAGACAACTCTGCCAATCAGTTGAAAAAAAATCTAAATTCCTGTGATTGTTTGCGCTTTCTGATAAACATCCTTGAAGAAGATTATCAAGGGACGTTTATTGTGGAAATGTTTCAAAGCTTCAAAACAGAACTTTCGAGATAACTGCATAATCAACAAAATTCAACGTAAAATTGATAAATATCTGCAAATAATCATAATGCATATTCAGCAAATAAACCAAAAAAACATGCTAGAGCTCATGAGTACAATGACGTTCATACCTTGTGCCTCAACATTGGTTGCTGCAAATGTGATGACTGTACATGTGATCCTGGAATAGGCTGTTGTGGTACAACACCTAGACCAGTACTAACGTGCAATCCAGTGTTCACATTGCTGCTGCTACACGTTGTGCCGTGATTACCACCCACTGCAGCCTAGAAAATTTTGTACTTCATGTTTTCCATACAAAAGATACCACAACATCCAACTCATGAGCTCTGCATCATTTTAAAAAAATTGTAACATTGAAAAATTTAATTCAGACATTTAGTTTAATTTGGAAATTCTGCTTTGGGGAGGGAAAATTGATTTACCTTGACAGGTGATGGGGCAGCCGCTGGCACGACGATGGCCCCAGCATATTGCTGCTGAGTCTGGGTAGTCCCAAACTGTATACTACCCGGCATTTCTTTGGACGTTAATGGCCTCACTGATTGACCAGACGTAACTCCACTCACAATTCCACTGGTGTGATACTCCAAATTATTACCACTGTTTACTCCAACTCCACTGACACTTCCCAAATGCTTCTGTGTTACTCCTATTGGCGTTGTTACCTCGTCCACCCCACGAACTCGTTTCATTTCAAATTACATTGGAAATTCTGGAAGCATTAAAAATTCATACTTTTTATTTTTTCTTTATTGTTCGTTGGGTTTGCAGGCTAGCCTAACAGCCTGACATTCTCTGTCTTGCATATTAATTTTCTCGCATGAATTCATTGAACTTTGTAAGATAGTGGTAGAAAATAAAAGAAATGGTAAAGTGGAATTATAAGATCATTCTGCGAATGTCTCAGTTACTAGGGAATTTATCAAACAATTTCAAGACCTTTTTTTTGTAAAGAACTCTTTTACAGATCTTGCACCGCCGGTTCTCGGTTATTTTTCACAAATATTTAGAGCGAAATTGTTGAGTCAGAGGTGAATTTTTCTCGAGAGTGAAAAAAAGTCGTGAAATTTTCTGGAAAATCCTGCGATTTTGGGGAGATGTAGAGAATAAGATTCTTAAATGTGAGTTTTTCGAATGAATCAGCTTATTTATATTTACGAATATTCGTATCAATTGTTAGATTTATCGAAAAATGTTACTTTTCTTTGAAATCCTCTAACAAAAATTTCAACCTTTTTGACGAATCTTGCAGTTTGAGGCATTTGAAAGAGAATTTTTTTTTCAGTTCATTTTTTCTAAATATCTCTTCAACTGCCTGTTTCATCAGGAAAGAGATGTGTTCTGAAACCCTCGAAACGGTCCAGTATTTTTTAATGAACCTACACTGAGGGAAAAACAAACAAGTTCTCAAACAAGTCTTGTTGAGGCCAACAAAATCGCTAGTTGAAAATTAGCAAAAACGAAATTTGCTTGATTTGAATTTGAAAGTTTCAAACATGAATAATTGCTCCGTTTTCGATAACATGAGAATATTTTATATAGAGGAAAATTTATCAAAAAATATTTTGTGCCTAAATTACAAGATTGCTATCATATAATTATTATTTCATTTAAGGATTCATTTCTCGTCTGTAATTATTGAACTGCCGAAATCAAAAACTATTATTCTTTGTCTCGCATAAAACGAACATTTTTCAGGATCAAAATATGGGAGTGTCGAATAATAAAGAAGTAGTGCTAGGAATTACATTTTTTGTTTGCACAGAGAATACAATTTTTTTTGAACTACTAAATCTATTTTTGCGGCAAAAATTTGCAATTGCGGCGCCCTTTTTTGCATATTGGATATACAAAAATTCTTTTTTGATAATTAAAAAAAAACTTTTTTTTAGGTACAAGTAAGACTTGTGTGAGAACTGTCGTTTTCCTCTCAGTGTAGGGTTCCCTTGAATATTGCATAAATAATAGAATAAAAATTGTACTGGTTATTTGATTTTTCAATAATATTACTCGTGTATAATCATGTGATTAATTATTTTTTCTATCGATCGACACTTAATAAATAAAATAAATATGGCCCAGTCGTCCAGAAATTAGGGGTTTCAGCTGCATTCAATTTACTATTTCTCAATTAAATTATTCTTTGTTTTTTTATTGACTTCAAATAATTGTTTTTTGCTAATTAAAAATTCTTGAAGGTTGTAAGCCATCATATTTCCGTATAGCTGATCCTTTTATTTTAGATCCTGTTCACCCCAATAGTAACAGAATTTCAAGAAGATTCACGATTTTTTTTATTCGTCTTAGTATTGAGCTTCATTTATTCTTTGAGGGTGAATGAAGACTCACCTATCAGATGTAGGTACTGCAAGGTGAATCAACCGGCCCTGAAACACATCATATCTAACTTTATTTTATGCACATGAGGCTCTTAAAATTCTAAATGCATAGGAAATTTCTCTTTCATTTCATTTCCCTGTCTTCTTCACGGATGGTTTGGCTCGAGTGGATATGAAATATTATCCGAGGAATTTCATTATTGTTTTGGATAGAGGCAAGCTGTCAAACCGCCAATGCGGTAATTACTGATGACTAATACTCAAGTCACTCAGTGAGGAAGTTGAGGATTTTAATGACTAATTGTAAATAAAACAACATCAGTAATTTCGACAACAACTCCATCTATTCACTTCTGTTCCGTTTTCTCCTGAGTTTTGCAAACAAAAGTTTGTTTTCAATTTGAAATTTAATGCGAAAATAATTAATAATTGAAGGATCTGGGAGGGGGAATGTTTGAAGAACCCTTTTCAGTATTTGTTTTACGATAAAAATTTTCCTCTTCCATTTTCGCGATTTTTTTTCGGGAATTTATGTTTAAAAAAATTACTTCAAGCTTCTTCATAGTCTTTGACTGTTAAATTTTTTATTCAAAAATTTGCTTGTTTTTTGATTCAGAAATCGTTCCGATTGGAGGACTAAAAATTAAAAAATTTGTAAAACTTTTTCGCAAAATCCTTCCCAATTAAAAGCATTATTTTGCTCGAAAAATTGAAATTCCATTATATCTCGATTTTTTATTTGCCAACGTTCCAAAATTTATTGACACGAACTCAAAGGCGTCACAATACCTTCTAGCATAATCAAGAAATCTCAATTTGTTGATAACAATTTGTGATTAATTAAAGCAAGAAATTCACACAATATTTAAATAATTCAAAGCATTCATATAATATTAAAAAATAATAGTTTAAGAAGTTACAGGTCTTCCTCAGCTTTTTAATAAAAAATTTTAATTTCGAAAATTATTATTGAATTACACTGTTAAAAATTTTTGTCTGGATTTTCCGTGCGAAATTCCGGAAATTTTTATCGTGTTTAAGTTCCACTGAAATTTCAGGAAATCTTGTCATTGAAAAATTAAATATTCCATTGATTTTTTGTTAAAATGATCTAAAAGTGAACAATATATTTGACTTTTCAGTTCAATTATTTCACAAAAATGCAGAAAAATCAGGAAAATTGAGGGAAAAATTGAGAATTCATGCAATTTTGTTTCTGAATATTCAATCGAGATGTAAAATTTCCATCTCACTCCAACTTGAAACTCATGAATTTCCTTGAATTATACCTAAAACTATAAATTTCATAACCATTTTTCCCCTAAATCCGATTGAACGTCACTCATATGAAAATTACTATCATATTTTCCATGAACTTTCAATAAATTCCTAACAGTGTATGTCGTGAACGGTTTTCCTCAACCATTTGAAATTATTTGGACGAATTCAAGCCGTTGAAACCTCGCGTTAGATTTTATATTCTAAATGTTCTTTGCATTCTGGCCACTTGGCCATCACATCCTCAATATTATTCTTTAATTGTTTTTCTTTTTCAACAAAAGAAATAAATTTTCACTTGAAGGACTGAGATTCAGAAATAAAGGAAAACTCCCCTCGACAAATATTTTCCCCCCAATTCTTTAGCTTCCCATAATCCCCGCTATTTAATTAACAACGCATTTTTCCGTTTCATTTCAAAGTTTGTTACGACAACCTGATTTTTCCTCCAAACTAAATAAAACTGTATTTAAAAAATCGGATAAACCAATGAAGGCCAAAGAAAACCGAAAACTCTTCGGAACACTCGTTGATATTTCACCCAGAACACAAGAATAAATACGCGTTCCCTCAAAACGTAGGAGCAAAGTTTGCCGGCAAAACCAGCGGCCTCGGAGGCACCTCCACTCACACACAAACCTCCCCCCACACAAAATACACACAATCGCTCGTTGCCCGCGAGCCAGCAAATCAGCGGGGCGCGAGGGGACCCCCATCTACACTCGTAGTGGTTAAACTCGGCACTGGTGTTAGTGTTTCTGCGCGCGGAGGGACGCGTGAGGTATTTTACCCCTCGAACCCCCTCAAAACCCTACCAAAAACCCCCGCAAGTCCTCGAAAAAGTACCCACACACCCCTCCCAACGGAATCGCCCGGCAAAACCCCTGGGAATCCCCTCAAAAACTCCCCCAAAAGCTAAAAAAAAGAAATGTCGCAAAGTGCCGCACACGATCTCGCGTTTTCCGGCGCTCTCCTCCGTTACGCAATATATTCCTCAGTAAATACATAACACACTTAACCGCGCCACACAGCTCAACACAGAAAATTCCACCCAAGAATTCCCGAAAATAAACAACAAATAAATCAAGTGAATCATTAAAAATCGCGGAACAAACCACTGAATTTCCTCGAAAGCCCGCACCTCAATGTGAACAGTCACAATCACAATCAAATACCGGGAGGTGTGGGGGCTCCTGACGAGTCGAGGCCTCCTGGGTGAGATGTACCCCAGTCGCGACAAAAATCTCACTCCCACGCACCCAAAATTCCCCCAAAAACAACAATAACCGAAAAATCGCCACCTCAAAAATACTCCTCACTCAAAATTTCACATCATAGATAAATGAAGATAATAGTATTCCAAGGGATTGAAGATTCTCACCTCCCCCCCCCCAGTTTCACTGTATTATTTTCTCCTCTTTTCTCCTTTATTTTACGTTCTATCTTCCACCACGTAGCGAAAGAATCCACGCCAGGCCCCAACACACACGATGATGCCTTTCTTCTCGCTCTCTTTCTCCCTCTATTTTCCTTTTTTTTCCTCTCTTTCCTCGGAGTTTCAAGTTTACGCGTTCCCCTTTACGTTCACCACATCGACAAGTATTTTTGGATGAAAATGATTATTGAAAATGATTCGAATGGGCCGACGACAGGCCGGTCCAGCCGCACACAACAGGAAACAACTACTATGCTCCCTTGCACTTTTGCCTCACGACACGCACATAAGCTTCATACCACCGTGTACTCCGTATCAAAATTATTTTCTCACGCATCTTCGGAGCTTTCTTCAGCACGTTTATTCTTTATTACTGTTTATTTACTCAGCGGTGAATATTAGTCGGGGGGGAAATGATTTTTGCGGTTTTTTTTTTATTCGAAAGGGACGGTTAAAACGTACTGCGACGGAGCATACTCGCAACTCACGGGGGCTACCCAAGGCAAACTATTGGATTTTGTATGGCAAACAAGGAACTGACTGGTCGTATAGCGAGACGGTGCGGTAAAGAAGTGGGGGATTTTACTTCAGCGGGACAGTAGCGTAGCGAGGGACGCCGGAACGATGGGGCCACCGGGTACCGTCACAACTGCAATGTCTGCTATTTTTCGTCACCACAAATGCCCATAAAACTGCCTCGTCGAGGTAAAATTCAATTTCAGCGGCAAAAATTTTGCAAACAATTGTTGTGATTCGGGAGGGGAGCGGAGGGATTTTACGGGGGTTGAGGGGAGGCGGGAGACACCTGTCAGGGGTCAGTAACCCATAGGAACTCTGAGAAAATTTGAACGAGTCGAAGACTCCCAGTGACAGAATTTTCGGTTTTTCAATTTTCGGATTTTTTATCGTCTTCATTTCGGAGGAGAATGGGTTGGGGATTGTAAATTCATGGTGGAGGGTTTGACTACGAGTGTTTTGAGAGGCTGTAACTCAGCTGTACGACTCTCCCCACCCACCACACAAAACCCCCACCGATTTTCGTGAAAATAATGGAAATTTTTACGTACGTCCCTGAAAAATAGTGGCGACGAAGCCGCCAAGTGGCGCGCGCATGTTTCCAACGAAATAACCAAGCGGTTTTATCCGTGGTCGACATGTTCGCGCGGCCCAACAGCTGTTCCGTGCGCCGAGCAAACTCCCCATTCGTTTCAATCTGGGTCATGGAAACTGCGCAAAACCACGTTTATCAAGTTGCTTCACTAATAAATCGGCCAATATTTTTGATTTTTCGTTGATGAAAAGTGTTGAGTTGTGATTTTTAAGGGCACTAGGTGATGCAGATTGTGTTGAGGTGTCTCGGGTAATGGGAATGATTTTTTTTCACGCCGGTTTTGGGTGATAAAGGAGAAGAAATTAAAAATGGTTGATTTCGTTCCAATACGAAAATACGACGTTTGCCTGTGGTGATGTTCGGGTGTCGGTTCTGGGACGTCGGATTGGGGAAGTTGCGTATCTGTCGGGTTGTGTGACTGGCCGAGAAACTAGAGAAACGCCCGCTCATTGGCTCAAGGTTCGGCAATCTACGGAGAAACTTTCGGTCGTTCTCTCACTCTAGCCGACTACCTTTTCTTTCCCTCGCTGCTTACTCCACTCTTCCCCTTCCGCGCTGTTTCCTTTTTCTACGCGTTCAGCTTTATTTTTCCCCTTTTTACTCTTTTCGTGAGACTCTCTGTGGGGATCCCGCCGAAACGGAGGGACGAAGCAACTACGTATGCAAGGAAACTTGAGGTCTTTCTGTGGGTGATTCAGTCTTTATTCTGCTCTCGAGTTTTGTCAGGGATATTTATCTTCAGGGGGAAAAATAGGGGATTGATTTTTTGAGAGAAATGTAGGCGGATAATTTTTTTAGCCGATTTTTTAAAATAATTTTGTCAATTTTATGAAATTTTAATGTTTCATGAACTCAAAAATTTTTGAAATGACATTTCCAATTTGCGAAAATTCTTTCATTTTTTTTCTCTTATAAATTGATAAAAAATACTCTTGAATAATTTAATTCCAAGAAGAATTAATTCAGTTTGTCTTATCAACTGTCTCAGGTTTGAAACGAGCATTCACATTATTTCGTTACATTACAAACTTTTCCTCAATTAAAAATTTTGCCAACAAATCGATTCAATCCGGTGAATAGTGCATTTCACAGACTTTCTAATGCTCAAAAATCCATCGATCCTCCTATCACTTCCAGCCACTTCCCACCATTCCCTTCATTCACGTTTATTTAAATAAAAAAAATGTTTCCTCTTTAAAGTTTCATTTATTCCTCCCAATGTTTTATTTTCCTTTCATTTGCGTTTGGCATTCCTTCTATCAGCCGGTAAAACGTCAAAGTGGGTGGAAGAGGGGGGGGGGGAAGAATAAACGACAGAGGCGCCTTTCAACAGCGTCAAACGGTGGCTTTTGGTACTCTCGAAACGTTGGAAATAGTTTTTTGGGGAGTGTTTCACCGGTGGAATCGACCAATAACGCCAAGATCGGAGTCATCGCAGTGATTGGGGACGAGACTGGGCGGTGTGCGGTCGATCGAGCCGAGTGAACGAGGNGGGGGGGAGGGGGGGGGGGGGGGGGAGAATAAACGACAGAGGCGCCTTTCAACAGCGTCAAACGGTGGCTTTTGGTACTCTCGAAACGTTGGAAATAGTTTTTTGGGGAGTGTTTCACCGGTGGAATCGACCAATAACGCCAAGATCGGAGTCATCGCAGTGATTGGGGACGAGACTGGGCGGTGTGCGGTCGATCGAGCCGAGTGAACGAGGATGGCAAGTGAATTGTTTCGGTGCACGGATGTCACTGAAGTGGTATGGAGGATAAAATACCAAGTGCCATCATCATTACAGTCCCCAAAAAACCGATCTTGCAACTCCTGAAGGTCCCATCAGTCTGGAGTTGTCCACAAACCCCGAAAAAAAAAACATTCACTATTTTTTTCTATGTTTGAAGTGCGGGTGAAAGCGGAACTGCTCCTGGGACACCTACCAATGGGTTCAGTTCAGACTTGTAGAAAAAAATTAGCTGGACCGTATGTCTCGGCTGAATTCTTCTGAATCTTCTACCTGCAGTTTAAATGTGTGTGTACACTCAGCAGGTGAAAGGGGACTTTTACATTAATAGGGCTTAAACTTATGACAGCATGGCCAGCTTTTTATCAGTTTCCTTCGAGTTTTTATCGACTCTCTTGAGTCAAACCCAGTTCTATTATTTTTTGTTGACTTGTGAGGTTGAATTTATTGTTTAATTTTCTTTAGTTGAGCCTTCAGTGATTTTTGGAGATACACTGTTGAAAGAAAAATTAAATTTCGTGGACAGTTGACTACTTATTTTCAGGACAGTAAAGCTGAATGCGATTTAGGGGAAAAATAATGAAACTAAAGGTTTCACTGAAAATTCAGTAAAATTCCAGAATTTTAAGCAGCATAGACGAAAATTCCTCAATTTATTTGAATTTCCAATCTCATATGAATAGAGGAGGATGGGGTAAAGTGGATACTTTAGACTTTTTTTTAATTACTCATAACTCAGAAACAAATCTATCAATTGAGCTCAGTTTAGGCTCATCACTGAGGGAAAGAAATGTTCTGTGCATTGAAAAAAAAAAATTATTGAATTTCACAAACATTTCAAGCTGTCATTATCATTTTAAAAAAAGTGAAAAGTGTCCATTTTACCCAATCTCCCCTATTCAGTGCCAAATTACGTAGAATTTCCTGTGAAATGTGAAATTCCATTATTATTTCTCGTAAACCGCATTCAGTGTCACTGACCTGAAAATTCAAGAATGTCTTTACAGGAATTTTCTGGTTTTCTCCTCATTTTCAGGGAAAAATGAAACTGAAATTTACAGTTCTCTGTATCATTTCCCTTCGAGTTTTTATCGAGGTCCTGCGTCAAACCCAGTTCTATTATTTTTCGTTCACTTGTGAGGTTGAGTTTATTGTTTAATTTTTTTTATTTGAGCCTTCAGTGATTTTCAGAGATACACTGTTGGAAGAAAAATTAAATTTCATGGACAGTTGACTACTAATTTTCATGGCAGTGAGACTGAATGCGATTTAGGGGAAAAAAATGATGAAATTTCAGATTTCACTGAAAATTCAAGAAAATTTCAGAATTTTAAGCAGCATAAAGATGACTCCAATCCAATGTGAAGATTCAGTGTCAAATTATATTGAATTTTCAGTGAAATCTAAATCGCATTCTTATCACTGTCCTGAAAATTCAAGAATATATTTGCCGGAATTTTTTGATTTTCTATTCATTTTCAGGGAAAAACGGAACTGAAATTTACAGTTCTCTTCGATATTTGCACGAAATTCTGAATTATTCAGTGATGAAATTCTTTGGAATTTCAGTGGTAATTAAATTCGATAAAATTTTTCAAAAAGTACCGCAAATTTCAGACAAAAATTTTCAACAGTGTAGGGGAGGGTGGGACAATGTGAATGAATTGGATCAAATCTACTGTTCCGACTACTTTTGACGGTTATAACAACAAACACATTGCCAGAAGACTGCGTCGTAGGTGTTGTAGGGTAAAGCAAAAAGGGGGTAAATGGACACTTCGATTTCTTCCTCAATTTTTCATGTTTCAATAATATTATTCAGTTTCTGAAATACTAGTCATGACGGCGATTTTCAAATTGAAAAAAAAATACTCATTTTTGACTTTTGTTGTAGAGGTGGTAAACCAATTTCTTTTCCTCATTGATCCTCCCCTCCCCCATTAGTTTATGATGATTTCCTTTGTGAGTAAAAAAGTACCCATTTTACAAATTTCGCAAATGGCTAAAAGGTCAGCTGTGTAGAGCGTGCCATTGTTCATTGAAAATAATAAATAATTTCAAAGTTATTTCAATAGTAAAACAGGAAATTCAAAGCTACTCTATATTTCAAACTTCAGTGTAAATTTAATTGAGATGAAGTTTATTTGTTGATATTTCTTTCAACTCTAATTTCTCTCCACAAAAACATACCAACGTGATTCTGTTGCAAAACGCCTGTTGAAAATTATCTCGATTAAATTTAAATAGGACCAACTTTTTCGGGTGTCCATTTTACCCCACTCTTGAATAATTTTTCAATTATGGACCTTGCCAAGAAGCAATTTAAAAAAATTCAATCATTGAAAATGTTTTGAAAATTTTTTGCGCGTCTATTTTACTCCATCCTATACGGATTTATCAGATGTCCATATTTCCCAATGAAACAATTTCCAAAAATTTGGATTTTCAAAAAAAAAACAAATTTCACAAATTTTTTGAGTGTCCATTTTACCCCAGATGTCTACATTGTCCCACCCTCCCCTCAACCCTTCAGAAATGGTTTTGAAAACTTTTTGAAAGTCTGAAAATAGTTCACTTAGTGGTATTGATCGCAGCAGCTTCAGAGCTTTTTATTCATCAATTCTTGAATTCTCGTTTGGGTAATTGATCATCAATAATTCCTACCATGTGGTGGGGAGGTAGCCTTCCACCGGTGGTTAATGCACCTCATTGACTCATTTCCGTAAACTCTGATTTTCCTTAGTTATACTAATTGAAACTGAAGGTAACTTCTTGATTATCGGCTAATTAATCTTATTAAATTTATGAAATGCATTCAATTATTCTGGTACTGCCAACTTGGGTGGGTTGGAGTAAATAGGTTTGAGTAGTTTACTGATTAGATTCTGCAGGATTTTTCTTTTACTGTTTTTAATTAATTTCCCCTTTCTTTTTATCTGGACAATAAACTGACGATTGGAGGCCTTGATGGGAGATGTATCAATAGGACTGTACAATTGGAAGTTTCTGCAGGCTGCGATGAAAGACATTGCCAATAATTGGATTTTTATTCTTTACATCGGACTATTATTTTTCAATCATCTGCACTACTCATCCATTTATTTCTCATCTAATTATTGTGAAGATTTTTCAAATTGGAGTGAAATTAAATAGATTTCATCTTTAGTCTGGAAAACATTTGTTGGAATTATTTCTGTAGTTAATTAGTAAACCGAGATGAATTCAATTATTCTATGGAATTTATTACGAAAATATTTCCGGAACTTTCGGATTTGGAGGAAATGTCAAGATCAAACTGTTCATAAAAACCCTTTTTAATTCATTTTTAATACTCCTCTTTCTTAAGATATTGTCAAATAATCTGGAAGGAATAATTTTTTCTAGGAATTAAAATTTTTCTCTAGGAAAAAATTATTTGATATTCTGTTATTATTATCAACAACAGGAAAGTTACTCTTGAAATTTCAAGTGAAAAAGTTTGAAATTTTTACCAACGACAGATACATGAAATTTCTGTCTCTTCGTTGACAAATCAGTTAATTTGATACTTTTCGCATTTCGAGGAGATGTCAAAATCAAACTTTTAATAAAAATCCTTTTTAACTCATTTTTAATACTCCTCTTTCCTAAGATATTGTCAAATAATCTGGAAGGAATAATTTGCAAGGAATTTCTTTTCTAGGAAATAAAATTTTTTTGTAGGAAAAAATAATTTGATATTCTGTTATTATTATCAACTACAGGAAAGTTACTCTTGAAATTTCAAGTGAAAAAGCTTGGAATTTTTACCAACGACAGTTACATGAAATTTCTGTATGTCTCTTCGTTGACGATTCAGTTAATTTGATACCTTTCGCATTTCGAGGAAATGTCAAGCTCAAACTTTTAATAAAACCCCTTTTTAATTCATTTTCAATACTCCTCTTTCCTAAGATATTTGTTAAATAATCTGGAAGGAATAATTTGCAAAGAATTTCTTTTTTAGGAAATAAAATCTTTCTCTAGGATAAAATAAATTGATATTCTGTTATTATTATATCCACTACAGGAAAGTTACTCTTGAAATTTCAAGTGAAAAAGCTTGAAATTTTTAACAACGACAGTTACATGAAATTGCTGTAGGTATATTTCTTCGTTGACGAATCAGTTAATTTCTTGAATTTCCATGAAATGCTGCATTTTCAGGTCTATGCGGCATCGAAAAACCTTGAAAATTTAGAAAATTCAGGCAACAACTTTTCTGAATTCTCAATCTATTGAATAATCAATAAATGTTTATCATGAAAAACCCAATTTTGTAAACGCTTTTACTTGAAATTGAATTCAAACTCACAACATCAAAAATGTAGATGCCGCAGTGACCGAAATTTCCAACAGTGCAATTCTTCAATTTTTCATCAGTTCATCATTCCTTCACACCTCATGAAATTTACTTCATCATTTTTCTGAATGACTGAGACCATTTCGAGTTCATTGTAAAAAGCTGTGCTCACTCTGAGGAATGTACAACAATTCCGTTCAACATTTTTCCCACTGCTTGATACCTTCCGGAGATTATTTATGTCGATAAATTCCACAATATTGTGCTAAAAAATCTGCACGTGTCGATTACCTTTTCTTTACATAAGAATCACTGGATTCTAACCTCAACACAACCAATCCACTCAAATTCCCCTTGACAATTTTCAATCGAACGATGAAAAAAAAATTCATTCACGACGCATTCGTCACTCAAAAAATAATCCACCAGACGAGCCAAAATTATTCATATTCTTCATTGTTTTAACACGATAAAAACTTTTATTGACTCAACCATGCTGCCTTTTTTACCGCATATATATGCCCCCTCTTATCTCAAACCATTTTTCTTTATCATTCCCGTATTTCCCTAACACTCAGAGTTTCCCCAGTCACATTTGAGGATCGAATTATTAAGACCAGAGTCAAGACTACTCGAATTCTTACCGCACCCGAAAAAAAATCATTGTTTACACTGTCACGTGGTGCTGCACATCATCAGTGCCATGACCAGAATTAATGATCGATTATTTCGATATTTTGATTGTTAATAGAACCATCGAGGCAGTGAATAAGTCGTTGAGCTACTGTTAAAACTAAAGATTACTCCAATGAAATACATCAGACAAACGGTGTATCCATGTTTATATCATATTTTTAGTCCCGCGCAAACTGGATGAATCATCCGACACGATGTAGCCACCATGCCAGAATACCTTTCCTTACCAAAATAAAAAATTTAAAATATTCTATTGAATTCACCACTTATTCAATCAATCGTACCTAC